AAATTATTAAAAATTATTTTTAATTTTAATTAAATCCAATCCTAACCTAAAAAATTAATAAGATGCTGCGACTCGTACAGTATATATGTTAGTATGTGATACAACCAACCACAATACCACAATCATACGAATCTTGTGATCCCTTAGTCGGTCGCTACTGGAAAAAATGTACTGGCTAGTTAGTAAATTTTCGGACCAGCTGATGATCGTTTCCTTAAATATCAGTGTTCTAATTTTAGATTGGTCTGTATAATTGAATATGTTTAGTTTATGTTTATCAAAAAAAATTTTTTTGACAGGGGGTCCCGGAAGTACCTTTGCTAGTCTATGACCCAAATAAAGGATAAATATTGCAAGGTTTTACAAAGGATATACGAATTCTGGCAATAATTAAGTTAAAAGAAATTTCTGAATGAGAAAGTAAATAATTTTCTTAAATTATATGGGAATTTAAATAAATATATAATTACTTTTTAAATGATGGTCAAATAAATATTCAGTAACCCAAATATATTCAAAATCAATCTAACTATTTACATTTTTATTTTCATTAGCCCGATGTAACAACCTTTTTCTAAATTTTTTCGGGAAAAGTGTTGGTTTCTTTTTTTTTAAAAAAAAGTGAAACGTAAACTACACATTTGATAAAAGACAATATAGAACATGTTAAGCTCAATGATAGCTAATATATTTATTATAATGTTCATTTAAATTAAGCACAAATATGCAATTTTCCGGTAAAAATAATTAACCGGTGTTACAAGAAATCGGCATTTACGAATGGCTCAGTAATATTGAAATGTTAATAATGTCAAAAATGCCATTTAAATTAATATATCAAGTATATATGATAATAGTTTTCGTTTTTATTTTATTTTTATTATATAAATTTATTGTATTAATTATTTTTATTATATTAGATATATTCGTTATATTTATTTTAAAATAGAAAAAATTAGTATTTAGAAATTTTGTATATAAACCCGAAAACCCGCTTTGTTCAGAGAATAAAATTGACGTGTCTTGAGAAGAGACGTCCGAAATCTTGAAATAATAGATATCTTTACACTTTCAAACCTTTATCGTGTATTAAGTAAATTGTTGAATAAATCTTTCTTACGACGGGCCTTATTTAGATCTAATCGGTTAACCAGGTTTCGGTTTAAAATCGAGTTAAAAACGGTTAAACCATTAAATCAATTAACCGGTTTAATAATTAGCCGGTTCCAAGCAATACATAATGTGATGTTAAATATATACTTGATTTGTAACTCACAATGTATATACAGTATTTGTTGACTTCTCTAGAGCATAAGATGAAGTCTTGAATTTTACTAATTTTTGGAATTATTCAATTTTATATATCGTTTTCATGTAAATTATTTAAGTCTCTTCTCATAATGTTATCGTTTTTTACACAAACTTAAATAAATAATTAAAACCACGTATTTTAGTAAATTGTGCACGAAACTAACCTTTATTGTGACAATCATATACCCATAACGAGTATCTTTCATTATAAATAAAGCAATTATGATCGACATATTTTTAATTATGGCGTAAATTTAATGTTTTTTAAGTCGAATATCAGAAATTATAAAATTTATTTTCGTAGAAAAGTTTAATTTTTCTTAAATAACAGATAAACACGTAAAATATAAAGTACGTTATTTATTTTACGCAACCGTTAAAATAGAATTCAATTTCATGATGCAAATGTTATTGATTTATTAATAATTTTATCTTTTCCTATAATATTCAAAGACATCCAGGAGAATACAAGCAGCGCAGGAAGTTCTTTGTTAGTGTAATCTGCAAGGATCGAGCCTAAAGACTCCTCGCCCCAAATTATAAACGGTGAAGACTTGGTTAAATTTATTCCTAATTTGTATCGTTTATTAGAATTATACAAAGACTATGGTTCGAATGGTTTTGGTATGTTTCTTTACATGATTTGCGAATTTAAATTTTAAATAAATTATTAATCAAAAGTATATACATAATTTTTTAGTCGATAAAATTATCATCTCCAAGGATTTCTAAAGGAACCATGCGACGATATGGTTCCATTATGTTTTAAGTCCATTTCTGAAATCAATTATACAAAATTGAACTCTACTTCTGTTCGCCTTATTGATGTTACGGAAATCGTCATTTAATTTCAAAACTCTTGTTGAATTTAAAGATAATTAATCAACAAATGTACAGTATATAAGATCTGCATCTAATAGTCAAAATCAGATTTTAATTTTGTTCTTTTATTAGATATGACTTGCTTATTGTCTCGTAGCCTTCTATCGACAACTCAAATAAACCTTTTTTACGTCCTGGTATTTACTTACTGGTTGTGAATCCAGATTTTGGTTTAGTTATTCATTGGCCCGAAGTAGGATGTTACGACGGAAATGCTCCTTCACAATGTAAAAAGAATATGATTAACCTACATAAGTGTGATCTACTTGGTTAATTTCTAAATGTTTAAATTATAATTTTACAAAACCTATAGATATTTGACAAAGGTTACCGATCATCAGCTTTGCCTTATGAGTGATGAAGATTTAAA